TGTAGTCTAGGCTAGATAGGATCTGCCATCTGTAGTCTGGGCGCCGAGCGCCAGATAGGATATCAACATTGGTTCTTCATTGATGATGATGATGAGACTTTACCAGCATTGTCAATTACGAGCTTTTGGTGTCTTCTTATTTGGTGAAACTCGTGATGCAATTCTGCTGTTGGTTCGAGGTCACAACTATCTGGTCTTGTGTATATGATGCTGTTTGATTGCTGAAGTTCGCTATTGCTCATCTTCCTTGCAATTTGGTATCGGAGCCGTGGTACGATTGCGCTCATCTGGCGGTTGTCTTCTGCCTAATGCGGTACATACATGCAGTCTGCTTGGTGAGTTGGGCCGTAAGTGGTGTGTAGTGAGGAGGGCGGAGACAAGTAAGTGGCGACCCAGGAGGTGAGGGGATCGCCAAGAAGGCTACGTGGTGTAATGTGGGTCTGGACAGTGTGATGAGAACTATCTGATGTGCGATTGGTGCTGAGGTGGAACGGTGTGCAATGCTGGTTGTGCCGAAGCAATGACTGGTCATCAAAAATTGGCGTCAGGTCATCTGGTGAGATTATCTCTGTGGTTGGGGTCAGCTATTTGAGGTACGTTGTTCTTAACCTTATCTACCCTCTTCGACACTTCTTACCGTGAGGTTGTGTGTTCCTTCTTGAGAGTACTCTCATTGTGAGGTGTCGAGTGCGCTCAACCTTGAGAGTCGGCAATGTTCATGTGGAGCATCTGGGAGAAGATGGGTGGAGCTTTCTGAAGGGCCCTGGACAAAGCACTGGGTCACGGTCACCATGCCAACCCACCGAGAGTAGAGCACGCATGCTTTGCTGCTTGTCCTTTGTTCGGCTCGCTGCGCTGTTAGATGGGTACTGAAGGGCAGGCCAGCCCTAAGTGGGAGACGAGACCGGGCGTCTTTAAATAAGCACCGAAAGGGGAAACCATTGGCTGTGATCGTCGTCCTGCTGCGACGTAAAATAATTCCTTATGACACTTGGGGGCGGTCGTTAAATTGCCTCTGGATCAGCCAATGGTTGTAAGGCTCGTGCACACGAGGATAAACACAGTGCAGGGCTGGCCGGCTCAGCAGCTACTCGGGGCACAGGGGTGGGCCTTGCACACCTTTAGTCACACACTGCTCTATGGATAGCTCAGGGACGCTAACATCGAGTGACATTCAGGGGAACTAAGGGAGGGGTAGATTTCAGGTGATAAGTTTGAGAAAAATTTCGTACTGTCCTATCCACACAAATGATTCTATTTTTATGTTTTGATAAGTTAGATGTACAGCCATTGACATCTGACAGACAGCATAATTAGAACTGTCTATGTTCATTGTGCATTCTGTTCGCGGACGAATCAGACAAAAAATAGTATCGTTTGTAGGAATCTGACTTACCTGTTGGGCCCGAATGTATAGTCTCTGACACAACCACCAATTAATAAGTTATTTATTTTAAATTGGTTTGTGCATTACACTGCGGTAGGCATCTAGAGTGCACTGGTGCAGATTGTGTGCAGTGCTGTAGCTTATGAGCGACAGGGAGGACACTAGAGAGGACGACTGGATCATGCGATCGGCTAGACACCCGATTGCCCACTTGGCATTAGGACCAGAGGGCGACAGATACTTGTTCCGTCAGCGTAGGGAGAGACTGCAGCAGCAGAGGAGGGCTAGAGCAGCGGAGGCTAGCAGGGCGCTCGTAAGTGAAGCCGCAGCTTCGGAAGCAATGGCTACCTCTGCGCAGCAGACTTCTCAGGCGGGTAGTTCAGGATCTGCAGGGTCAACAAGTTCTGCAGGGTCTACCAGCTTTATAGGATCAACAGGCTCTATAGGGTCAATGGTTGTGCAGTTTTTGAGTCAGTCCGCTGGCGTTATGGCAAGCCAGCCATTAGTGACGACTCCCGAGGAGTTCCCCATACAGCGAGCTGCTGCTCGCGAGGCACAGCTACAGCAGGCTTTGGGAGAGATTAAGGCAGAGAAAGAGAGAATGATTAGGAGAAGAGCCAGGATGCAGCGGAGGCAAGAGGACGTCAATTAGTTAGAGGAGATGGACCCAACACAAATGGATGATGATGTGAGAACCATTCGGTCGGTCCTGTAAGTGTAGTGGAAATGCAGGATCACTAGACGGAGATCTTACAGGACATCCAACAGAGTCTGGCTGTGTTAGTCGGGCGGATGCAGGCGTCACCATCACCGTTCAGGCCAGGTGCCTGGCCCATTGCACATCCTCGTCCTTTTGTCCCACCGGTTCAGACCGTTTCCCTGGGCATGCCGTTATCAGGAGGGCTCTCAGCAGGTCCTAGTTTGCAGGTTCCTGTACAACCAGTGTATTCCCAACCTCCGTTGCAGATTGCAGTTACAACACAACTTGCTGTCTCGCAGCCTGTACAGCCGCAGGGTATACAGCCCTTGCAGCCAGTGCAGCCGCCTGTATCACAGGGTCCACAGCCCAGTGGGATCCAGGGACCGGGACAAACTCAGTGGGTACCAAACACGGCCATCTCCGCTCCTAAACCCTTCACAGGGGATAAGAGGGGCGAAGACCTCGACACTTGGTTGAGGGCAGTGCCGGTCTATGTCAAGGGTAAACTCACCTTGCCGCACGAGGAAGTGTTTGTGGCTGCATCTTACCTAGAGGGTAGTGCAACAAGATGGTTGAGTGGTTTAGTACAACTGTAGGGATACGGTCATGACTTTCGCGCTTGGGTGGTCACCCAGCAATTGGACGACTTCCTCAAGTTGGTGGAAGAAAGGTGGCATGATCCTCAGGAGGCCCAAAAGGCCACTGATGCGATCCTGACACTGCACACGAGGCAGTTCAAGTCAGTGAGGGAAGCCATTGACGCTGTAGAGCGTCTGATCTGTGTCCCTGGGGTGCACTATGACCCCCAAGTTTTACTCACCTCCTACCTGAGATGCTTTCCTATGCCTCTCAGGAATCAGTTGGCAGGTTTGGCCAAAATCAATGTTCACAACTTGCCCTCGTTTAGCAAGAAGGCCCTAGACCTTGAGGCGAAGATAGGGCATGGGCAGGCACCCACTACGGATGGTAGGAAGAAAACACTGCCTCCCAACTGGAAGGCGAAGGCTCGCATAATGTTTGTCGATAACGATGGTTCAACCATCGAATTAGACGACAACTTCCAGGAGGGAGTAGGTTCAGAGGCTGACAGCGTTGAAGCTTCAGGGGGTGGAGTTGTCGCTGCCGTAGCTCAAAAGTTAAGGCGACCGGTAGACGCCATGGAGGCTCCCGGTCAAGGAGTCAAGTTGACCCCAACGCTCCCCCATGGGAGAAGGCGGGTCTCACTGAGGACTTGTGGAGAGATCGGTACACACGGTAGGCTTGCATTCATTGTGGTCAATAGGACCATAACCAATTCAAGTGACGTAATAAGAAGGTGACCGAGAAGATCCCGCCTACAATGGAGCAGGCGTTGGGATCCTCCCATCCTGTTGGTAGCAATGTAGCCAGTACTTCTGGCACTGCTCCGGGAAACACGTCGGGCCAATAGGAATAGTAGCTGTTCCTGCTAGGGTCGAGGTGGTGGACACATCCTCACCATCTCGAGAGATGGCCCAAGCTACTGACTCCAGCGTCGTGCTGCAAACACATTCGGATCCATCGAGCCTCTGTTCGATGAATGTGTTTGAGTCCTTAGAGGAGCTAGAGGAGGAGTGGTCTAGATCAGACCCACTAGCTTCTTGGACGACATTGGTCAAAGCCCCGAAGGGTGAGATTTTCGTCAGCGAGGTGGTCATTGGCAGCCGCAAGGCCGGGGCCTATTATGACACTTGCTCGACTAGGAACTTCATTAGTCGCGCGTGCGTTGAAAGGCTGTGCTTACAAGGGCAAGTGCAATGCCTGAGTCGACCTGTGGAGTCGACCTGTGCCAACAAACCGCGCATGGTAGTCAACGACTACCTCCAGGATGTTGAGTGTTGTTTCCCGTCCGCGGGAGGGGAATTGAGACATCGCGTCTCGTTCCTAGTGAGTGACGAACTCCCCATGGATATGTTGTTAGGTATGTACTACCTCTCTGTGGCACAGCCCCAGTTTGACTGGGACCGAAGAGTGGTCAAACACACTTTGCCAGGTGGAGGGACCGCCAGATTGCGTAAGTTCAAAGCTAGTAGTCTGATTGAGTCCCACGGATGCATGTGTGCGGCCGCGTTCTATAATTATTATAAGCAAAATCAGGAGGAGGGTATGTACCTAGTTTATGTCCTTGCTGCAGGCGAGCCGGTGAAAATGTCGCCGGAGATAGAGGGAGTAGTTGCTAAGTATCCTGATCTATTTGAAGAGCCGACAGGGGTTGTTGAGAAGGAGGTCGTCCACGCGATAGAGATTATCCCAGGGTCTAGTATCCCAAAGGGTAGGATCTATCGGATGTCTCCAGGCGAGCTCGATGAGCTTTGCCGGCAACTCAAGGAATTCGTAGAGAAGGGTTGGATCCGGCCGAGTGTTTCTCCTTATGGGTCTCCAGTACTATTCGTACCTAAGAAGAAGGAGGGAACACTTAGGATGTGCATTGACTATAGGGGCCTCAATGCCATCACTGTTAAGAACAGAGAGCCCCTACCGCGCATCGAAGATTTGCTAGATAGAGTGCAAGGATGTCGGTACTTCAGTAAGATAGATCTGAAGTCCGGGTACCATCAGATTGCAATCCGGCCCGAGGATCAACACAAAACCGCATTTCAGACCAGGTACGGTCTGTACGAGTTTGTGGTGATGCCTTTCGGTTTATGCAATGGTCCTGGCACCTTTCAGCACGCTATGAATCGGATCTTTCATGACTACTTGGATAAGTTTGTCATCGTGTACCTCGATGACATACTTATTTTTAGTAAGACTGTCGAGGAGCACGTTGCGCACTTGGACAAAGTCCTGAGTCTTCTGCGACAGCACAAGTTCAATATCAACGGTGAGAAGTGCAAGTTTGGCTGCACCCGTGTCTTGTACTTGGGTCATGAGATTTTCGTGGAGGGATTGAAGCCCGATGACGCGAAGGTGGCCAGCATTCATGACTGGCCGCGTCCTCAATCTGTGACTGAGATGAGGTCTTTCTTAGGGATGACCAGCTACTATCGCAACTTCGTGAAGAACTATAGCATAGTTGCCGCCCCTTTGACTGATTTGGCCCGCCTTGACACCCCATGGGAGTGGACTGAGAGATGCGAGGCTGCTTTCAAATATCTGAAGCATGCGTTGACGCATTATGAAGTCTTGAAACTTCCTGATCCTGACAAGCCATTTATAGTGACTACGGATGCTAGCCAATATGGCATAGGCGCCGTACTTGCACAACAGGAGGCGGAAAAGTTGAGGCCAGTTGAATACATGTCCAAGAAAATGTCGTCTCATAAGTTGGCTCACCTATGCGAAGGAACTCTATGCGGTTTACAAGGCTCTGACCCATTGGAGGCACTATCTCCTTGGGAGGTTCTTCATCCTCAGGACTGATCATTAGACACTGAGATGGATGAGAACTCAGTCGGTGCTCTCTGGAGCTCTGAAGCGTTGGATTGAAGTCATAGAGTAGTATGACTTCGAGCCCTAGTACATCAAGGGCGAGTACAACAAGGTTGTTGATGCCTTGTCGCGTAGACCTGATTTCTCAGGTTCGCTGATTACTGAGTTCAATCTTGCGGACAATGTTACTCAGTCTTTGGTGGAAGCCTATCGCGAGGACCCGTTTATGGCCACATCTTCATACGCAGACTCGAGGCGAAGGACAAAGAGACTTCTGCCGAGTTTGAATTGGTCAACGACCTGCTGTTCCTTGAGAAGGCAGGGAATAAACGTTCGTGTGTGCCTAATAGGGAGTCTTTGCGTAGTTTATTTTTAGGCGAATGTCATGATGCCACAGGACATTTTGGGTTCAAGAAGACTGCGGCTAATCTGCTGCAGCGGTTCTGGTGGCCCACATTGATGAGAGATGCTAAGTTGTACGAGGAGACTTGTCAGGTCTGTCAGAGGGACAAGTCACGTACTTAGGCTCCTCTTGGGCTCCTGAAGCCCCTTCCGATTCCGGAAAGGCCTGGTGAGAGCCTGTCCATGGACTTCATGGATACGCTGGTCACCAGCAAGAGTGGAATGCGCTACATCTACGTCATTGTGGATAGGTTTAGTAAGTTTGCTAGGTTAGTTGCAATGTCGACAACAACTAAGACGGAGTATGTGATTAAAATGTTTAAAGAGAATTGGGTTAGAGATTTTGGATTGCCAAAGTCTATCGTTAGCGACCGGGACGTGCGATTTACCAGCGAATTGTGGAAAGCAACAACTGCAGAGCAAGGCACGCAACTGCAGATGACATCAGGCAATCATCCTGAGGCAAACGGGCAGGCTGAACAAATGAACCGCGCTGTACAACACCTGCTAAGGCATTACATCAAGCCAAATCAGGTAGATTGGGATGAGAAACTTGCTCTCATCGCCAGTTTGTACAATAATGTTGTGCACAACGCAACCAGAGTCAGTCCTAATAGCTTGCTACTGACCTTCAGACCCCGACTGCCTTTAGACTTTCTACTACTTGACAATCAGCCGACTGCTGCACCAGGGACTCTAGAGTTTGCGTATAGATATGAGCACTTGATGCAGCAGGCTGTTGAGCAGATGCACAAAGCACAGGCGGTCATGGTAGAGTCTGAGAACAAGCACCGCCGCCCATCTACATTCCAGGTAGGGGAAAGAGTCTGGGTGAAGTCCTCCGAACTGAGACAAGAGTACGGGATATCCCGTAAACTCATGCCACAGTACTTTGGACCATGGGAGGTATTCGATGTCGTGGGGAATGAACCGGATGGCCCGTCTTATGTTATTCCCATCCCTGGTCACTTACGCACTTAACTGTCTTTCACGCCTCCAAGCTTGCACCTTTCAAGGAAACAGCTCAGTTTCCTTCTCGACGCTCAATGCTGCCCCCAACCATGGATGGAGAGGTGGACATAGACCCAGGGAGCTTCCCATTCCAAGACCGATAGGCAGGGGACGTCCTCCGAAACCGAAGCTGCAGTACCAAGTTCGGTTCCGACATCATCTGGATCCAAAGGAGGACCGCTGGTTCACTAGGGAGGAACTCATGCAGACCGCTCCTCAGATCATAGCTCAATATGAGAAATCTCTGCAGAAGGGAAATTGCCAGATCATCGAAGACTGAACTTCTCAGAGGACTAGCGAAGTTATGGAGGAGGGAATGCGAGGCTTATGCCCCTATGAGCCCCTTTCAGGCCCTGCCAAGTATCACGTCGGCCGCCCTAAGTGAAGGCAGGCACGACGAGGGCCTGAGGGCCCCTATTTCGATCACCACTCAACTCAAGGAAATTCAGGCAGTTGCGCAGTGCCAGTTGGTTGGAAGAACCCACGCCCTGGGCAGCCTGTTTGAATGTATCGAAGGCAGGCCCTGGGCTGGATACGGGATGAGGGCCTAACACAGGCCGTTGACAGTTGGGCGCGAGCAA